CACCTTGATTCCGCTAAAAAATAGTCTAATTTTTTAAGAAAGATAACATACATATTACATCGGACGCGCCTTGCAACCGATGTAAAAACCTACATTTTACATCGGGCCAGAAAGGCAATCGATGTTAAATATTACATTTATTTAAAAAAAATTAAGTTAAACTCAAATTTCACATTAGACGTAACAGTCAACCGATGTGGTAGGTGTATTTTTCACATCCGGCGATTGTCCCATGTAAAATGTTTTTGATTTATTACATCGATTGTCTTTACATCGGACTCAGATCCAATGTAAAATGTATTTTTCGCCTGATGTAAAAAGTCTTTCTTGCACTAGTGCATAAAATCACTCTCTCTTATATGTGAAGTCTCAAGTTCAATAAGAAGGATCTCTTCATAGACAAGGTCATCAAGCTTCTTATTCCTGCACCAACCTCATTTATTTCTAATTTAATAATCCTTGCTACCCAAATCATAGAAAAGACTTCAGGAACAAATGCTTCATACTGGCCAATGGCCCACAAAGACCAACCTAATCCACATAGGCCAAATTTTCCTTAAGGACTTACCTCGCCTTCGTAGAGATAGACGTGTGTCACATGGCGCTACACAGAATTAAACACGTTCTTTGATTAGTTTCGTTGATCTTTATCTAATGATCGCTCGTGCTCCGGAGCGTCAAACAACTCAGAGACGGTTATAACTACCTCTCTTTTTAAAATGTGAACCTGAATCATACCCATATACGATTCAACTCGTACTTTTAAAGTTTTACCTCAATCTCACACTAATAAGAGTATGAGAGTGCTAATACTTTTGTAAGTACCTTCTCCATTTACCAACTAAGTAAATGTTAGATATTATTATTATTATTATTATTATTATTATTATTATTATTATTATTATTATTATTATATCTTTATAAAGGTAGTTTGGTATTTCTAACAAATAATATTTATATTTTGGTATAACTCTTATTCTCTAGTTTTTCTATTCATTCTATTGAAATTTTAAATTAAAAAGTCTTTTTTCTTATCTATGTTTTTATGTATTCATTATTATTAATTTAGTATTAAAGAGTTTGATTTGATTTTCGAACTTAAAGTGAAACAACAATTTCTTTTAGTGATTTAAATTTGAAGTGAATCGATAGGTTTCCGGTAATTTGTTAGAGCATTCATTTTACGGTAAGTTACGTAATTTTTGGATAAAGCAGATTCATTATTGGACATAGTTTCATTATTGTTGGAGACATTGCTTGGTTGTATAACGTGAAATATAGTAATTTGGTACTGTTAATCATTATTGGAGATATTGTTAGTGTATTGGTTTTACTCTTAGCCACTTTTTCAAAAGGAAAATTTGGTACCGTCTCAAGAGTGAAGTTTGGAATTTGATATTGTTTCTCATCTCTTTTTGTTTAATTGAGTGATTTGGTTATCTTATAGTTTATTATAATAAGTAATGATAAAGATGACCCTCTTCAATCGGTTAGTGTCTAATTTATTGGAGAAAATTATTTTTAATGGAGTTATGTAATGAGAAATTTTTTTAAAGAAAAAAGAATGTGAAATTATGTTGATGGAACTTCGGTTAAACCTACCGATAAAAAGGATAAAGCAAAATCCGCAAAAGAGTTGAAAACATGAGATGTTAGTAATTCAAAGATCCTTACTTGGATCAATAATTCTGTTTCTCAGTCAATAGCAACTAGCAAAATATGATACTGCTAAGGAGGTTTGGGACCATTTGAAACGTTTGTATGGTCAATCAAATTTTACAAAACAGTATCAGCTGGAGAGTGATATTAGAGATCTCAAACAGAATAATATGACAATTCAAGAGTTCTATTCAATGATGACTAATTTGTGGGATCAATTGGCTCTTATGGAATCAGCTGAATTGAAAGTTGTCAAAGCGTACACTGATCAAAGAGAAGAGCAACAATTGGTTCAATTTCTGATGGTACTTAAGAATGATTTTGAGGGCCTTCATGGGGGTATTCTGCATCGTAATCCTCTTTCCAGTGTCGATTAAGTTTTCAATGAATTGTTGGCAGAAGAAATCATACTCAAGTCACACTTTAATTTGATTTCAGATAAAGGATTTCTCCCGACTCCTCAATCTATTTTTGCTACTCCACTTTAGAAAGGAAAAACTCAAGATAAGTATTGATGAATGTGCTTTTTGTAAGGAGAAAGGTCATTGGAAAGCACAATGTCCCAGGTTGAAAGCAGGTAAGAAAATTTTTAAGAGTTCATCATCCAATGTTGTTGCTTATGCTCCTACTACCATCAGCTTAAATTCTGATCATGCATATACATCTGAGACCACTTCTCAAATATCTGATATTGCAGAGCAACTCCAAAAACTTCTTGCAACTCAGTCATGTTCCATGTATGCCTCCTCTATTAAAGGTTTGAACTTTTCTTGTTTGTCAGGTATATCTCCTTCCATGTAGATTCTAGACCCAGGAGCATCACACCATATGTTATATGATGCTAAATCATTTATGTCTTTAAAAACTGTAACATCTATGTCGGTTATGATTGCTGATGACACTCATATGCCATTATCAGGCATTGGTTCGATCTTCACCCCTAATTTTTCATTTTCTGACATTTATTATATTCCTAACCTCACTTTAAGTCTTGCTTCTGTTAGTCAATTGTATGATTCAGATTACTCAGTTATGTTTTCTTCCACTTCTTGTTGTGTACATGATCCTCTTGTCCCCACGGCTACCCAAGAACTTTATGCGATTGTTGATTCGCCGCCTCCTCATTACCCTTCTCGTGACCGTAAGTCTACTCAATTGCCTAATTTTTTCTATTCCACTTACTCTGCTTCTTTTGTTTCTTTTCTAACCTCTATCCATAGTTTGTCTGAGTCATCTTCCTATAAAGAGGCTATTCTTGACTCTCCTTGGCAGCAAGCTATGACAAAAGAACTTTTTGTTTTGCATTAAAATTTTTTTGGAGAATTAGTACCTCTCCCTCCTAGAAAACGTGTTATTGGGTCTTGTTAGATATACAAGATCAAAACTAAGTCGGATGGGTCAGTTGAACGGTACAAAGCACATCTTGTTGCTAAGGGATTCTCTCAACAATATGGTATGGATTATGAAGAAACTTTTGTTCCTGTTGCTAAGATGACTACTATTCACACTCTTATTGCAGTTGCATTTATTCATCAATGACATATTCCTCAAATGGATGTTAAAAATATATTTCTAAATGGTGATCTTCAAGAGGAAGTTTATATGATACCTCCACAAGGTGTTCTCATAATCAAGGGGAATTGTGTAAGTTGAAGAAAGCACTATGTGTTCTAAAACAAGCTCCACGAGCTTAGTTTGAGAAGTTTACCACTATGATTATATTCATTGACTTTCTCTCTAGTGATCATGATTCTGCTTTATTTGTCAAGACCACTTATCATGGTCGTATTTTAATCTCATTATATGTTGATGATATGATTATTACAAGTGATGATATGAATGAAATTAATGATTTGAAATTATAGTTAGCCAAACAGTTTGAGATGAAGGACTTAGGCACTCTTCGATACTTCTTAGGAATTAAATTTTATTACTCTCCTAGAGGCTATCTTCTCTCTCAATCCAAGTATATTATCAATATTCTTGAATAGACTCGCCTTTCTGATACTAGAGTAACATATAGTCCTCTTGAGTTGAATGTGAACTATGCTCCAACTGATGGTGTTCCTCTGCCATATCCCACCTTATATCGTACTTTGGTTGACAGCTTGGTGTACCATACAATTACTAGACCAGGTATTGCTTATGTTATTCATGTTGTTAGTCAGTTTGTTGTCTGATCTCCTACTACAGTGCACTGGGTATCCGTTCTTCGCATATGTCGTTATCTTCGGGGAATCCAGTTTTAGAGCATTCTCTTTCCATGATCGTCTTCATTAGAACTACGTGCTTATTCTGGTGCTGATTGGGCTGGCGACCCCACAGATCGTAAGTCTACCATAGAGTTTTGTATCTTTCTTGGAGACTCTCTTATTTCTTGGAAGAGTAAGAAACGAGATATTGTCTCTCGTTCTTCTACAGAAGTTGAGTATTGTGCTATGGCATCCACCACTACTGAAATAGTTTGGTTGCGTTGGTTACTTTCTGATATGATGTGATTCTTTCTGAACCAACTCCCATGTATTGTGATAACAAGAGTGCCTCTCAAATTGCCCATAACTCGGTCTTTCATAAACGTACCAAACACATTGAGATTGATTGTCACTTCACTCGTCATCATCTTCAGCATGGAACAATTACTCTACCGTATGTCTTCTTTGCAGATTGCTGATTTATTTACAAAGACGTATTCCATTAAACACTTTCGTTTTTTTATTGACAAACTCTCGATGCTTCCTACTAATGCATCTTGAATTTAAGAAAAGATATTAGATATTATTATTATTATTATTATTATTATTATTATTATTATTATTATTATTATTATTATTATTATTATTATTATATTGTTTTATTATGTCTTTATAAGGATAGTTTGATATTTCCTAATAGATAATATTTATACTTTGGTATAATCTTTATTTTCTAGTTTTTCTGCTCATTCTGTTAACCTAAATCAAAAGGTATTTTTTCTTCTCGTGTTCACTACTGTTAACGGTAAGAACCATCACCGCCACATCAGAAGCATCTTTACGGTGATCTTCATCAACTTACCCCTCCTTTTCTATTCCGGTACGTAATACTAGATTTAAAAAAGAAAGAAAGAGAGAGAGAGAAGAGAAGATAATATATATTGTATTATGTTTTTAAAGTGTACATTCACAATGATAAACGAGAGGAAGAAAAGGGGGGACGGGCATGGCACCCCGACCATCCAAGTGGCATACATACAAGAGTACATATTTAGCTGCTAGTATAAAAGAATAATAGAACAACAATTAACACATAAAATAATTCAATCCATTCTAAAAGGCCTAGATACAGAACAGCTTCAAAACAGCTTAAACAGGTGGGCTCATGATAGGAGGAACAAAACACCAGTTACCAAAAGATGTCGGTGAGAGCAGATTCATTTCCAACAAACCAGGAGTCATTACCCGATCATCCTTACACTTGTTTTCAAAATATTCAGCTTCAAAGTAGTGATACCAGTTGTTAGGAGTACTCACTGCCACTGGCACCAACGGAGGGGACACTTCCACAGTATTGACCCTGCTGTTTGAAAAAAACTGTATTGGGAGAGAAGGAACTGTGTTATGGGAAATGTTATGGTCTGTGTCTGTGCTTTCAAGGTTGTGATGATCAGGCTGTGGAGGCATGAACTCAGGTGCACAAGTGAGGGATTGAACAAGTTCTTTGAAGTTTATAGGATCTATTTTGTATACTTTGATAGGTGTTGGTGGCATTGGGGCTATCGGTGCTTTATTCGATTTCTTTACTGGTGTCTTTCTTACTGAGTGAAGCCAAGAGTATTTAGATTGAAAAGGGTATTGATTATGTTTCACTGATCCATTTAGTTTCTTGGTGGTTTCGGATATGTATGGAGAATTATTAGATGAAGAATATGAACTACAATAAGACTCCATTAAGCTTCTGTTTTCCAATGAAGATTGAATTTTATGTATTTTTTTTATAAGTATAGTATATGTGACTTTGAAGCTATTACGATGGAAGAGAGTAAAATGTTAGTTACTGTTATGTTGTGATATCTAGATAGCTATTTATAGATAGATATTGTTGTGAGTGTATGAACAATAATTATGAAGGAAAAATAATATTTAAAGAGTGTGGAATATTTGAATTTCAATAAAGGCTAACCACCTGTGAGGCCTTGATGTGAGACTTGCAAACGATGAATGAAAAAATACAAGCTTTGTTTTTGTCTTTACCGTCGGCGGATCGATGCATCATGTAATGCAATCAGTAATGAAAAATATAAAAATGTGGGAATGGAATTTTCTTAAACAATAATTTAACTTAGATATATAATATGTTAAACAAAGCCTCCATATTTGTCTTTGTTCAAAAAGTCAGAACATTTATTTATATAAAGTCAAAGTATTGAAGGGTGAGAGACAAGAAGATTATATCTTGGATGGAGATTCAACTATATCTGGATGGAGATTCAATTTCCTGAAGTGAGTTTTGAGTGTATGACATTGACGAATGGCAGGGCAACGGGGACAAATTGGGAATGATATATTAAGAGGAATATTATCAGTTTAAAGAATAAAACAATGATTTATTTTTTAAATGAGATTAAACGTAATTGTGTTGTTATTCAATAGAAATTTATTAATATGATACATGTGGTTGATTGATTTTTTGTTGTGGGTAAAATATGATTTTTGTTTCTATAAATATTTTAAATTTTTTTTTTTATTAAAAAATAATAAATTTTATTCTCTAAATTTTATTTATTTATGTAGTTTTAATTTTTATTATTTTTTAAAATTTTTAAAATATTTTAATTATTCTTAAACTTTTAAATTTTGAATGTTTTTCCATACATATTTAGAATACTATAAAATGTTTCTTTATTAAATTTTAAAAAATTTTAAAACGAGAAGAATTAAATATGAAATTTTCAAATTTCAAAAGATATTGATAAAAGTGATAAAATTTTCGATTTAGAAATCAAATTTTGAGTTCTTTTTTTTTTTTCCGAAGAACTTTTTATAACATTCTAAACATGTCTTCAAAATAATCATTAAAAAATACACGTCGATTTAACAACAGAGACTAAAACTACGTGTATAATAATTTTGTAAGGAATAAAACATGTCATGTTTTTTATAGGGATCAAAAATAAAATTTGATAATTTATAGGGACCAAAAACATATTTAATCATTTTTTTTATAATCAACTTTTGTATTAAAACTGAGTACTAGGGGTACCAATCCCGATACAATAGAACCGGAAAATATCGGCAGAGAAAGAAAAAATTACTCACTGACTGAAACATACACCAAGGTAGCCAAGGGGTCCTTACAAAACTCATAAAAATTACAATTGGAATGAGGGATATCTCCTATAACCAACCATTTCAACGCCTCTAACTTAATGTCTCAACTCAAATCCGAAACATTGCAAAGTGCATTATTAAAGATGATATTGTTCCTCAATTTCCAAATATTCCACAAAATCGACATCCACATGTTGTACCCCAATTTTTGCCCCTAAGATCCCTTCATCATACCATGTTGATTCATTCACAACAAGATCACACTAGGATTCTTGGTTCCCCTCCCTACATTTAGTTTTGCTCCTTTTGAGGGATTACCAAGCATCTTGACTTATGTTTCTTTTGTGATCATGAATATTGTTTTGATTTCTTCACTTAACTAATAAAATACAATGTTGGCTTGTCTTGTTTGTTATCCATGTAGGTAAGAGCAATGAGATTTGACAAGTTACTCCATGGGTTCATGAGTTTATTTTCATGCCCTAGTCAATATAGCTTGAGAAGTTCAAACCTCGTCATTGAATTGGTTTTGGAAGAATTGGCATGGCAAGGTTGTTTTGGTTCCCCATATTTCAAGGTTATTAAATTTGACTCTAAAAGTACAAGGGGTTGATTGGAGAAGTTGTCATGTTGGACATAGCCTTGTTCCTATTGGTCACAAGAGCATATTTCTCTCAAAATTCAAGATATGAAAGTGGTTTTGGTGGCTATGAGTCTTCATTATCATCCTCAACAACTTCTATTCACAAAGCAAGAATATTGGTACAAGAAGTTTGTTTAAACTTGTCAAAGTTCTCCAAGGCTTTCTCTTGATCTAGAAGCTAGGGTTTTGAACTTCAAATGAGCATATCTTGCTCACCTTTTGGTATTTTTGAGTAATTCCAAAGACATCCTTCTCTTCAAAGGGTTATCAACAAACCACTTTAAAAATTCCAAAGAGTTTTCATATGGAAGAAACTTGGTGAAGAAGAAAGGTTACAAGTCATCCAGATGAACCCACAATTTTCCACATGTGACTTTAAATGGTCATAACTTGGTCAATTTTTATCACCTTGAGTCTATTCGTTTTCCATAATGATCTGAAAGATGTGAACTTTATGCCTTATTTTATGTTTAAAGTGAGAAAATGGATGGAAGTTGCCTTAAAGATGCAAAAGATTATAGGTTATTTCATGATTTTTGACCAACTTCAACAAGTCATAACTTGCTCAATTTTTGGAGATTTTGAGTGGTTCAAGTTTCAAAATGTCATTCAAGAGATCTACTTCATTCCATATTTTTTGGTCAAGAGCAAATTCTAAGTGGAAGGCCATGTTTGGATGCAAAAGATTATAGGTCATTTTTGAAGAAGAATTTGAAATATTTCTAAGTATGGAAAGTCAACCCTTTTTATTCAACTTTGACTCAATGTAACTTTCAACTCAAGTGTCCATTTGATTCAATTCTTTTCCCATTGCAAAGCTTGTAACCTCATCTTTCTAAAGCATCAAGAATCATGCCCTAAGACCCGTTGAGTTGGAAATGCCATGGATTTGAATTTGGTAACTTGAAACTGAATTTTTCACAAAGACGGAATTTTGAAATCCATAATGTGACTTATAAACACAAGATTTATGCACGTTTTTGATTTAAACTTGATTAGCAAACTTTCCAGAAGTGATTAGTACCCCAAAACGCAAGATTTGGTTGAGTTTTGATGGAAATGAAGTCACACTTCACTCGTGCTCGACCTTCACTCAATTTCCCTCCAAACTTCCTTGTTTCTTCAAATTTTTATTCCCATTCACTTCCCTATAAATAGAGGGTCCTTCCCCATTCATTTCTCCAAGCTTTGAGAGCCAAAACACTCTGCTAAAACTTCACACGAACCCCTCTTTTTTGAATTCAGTTTCTGAGATTTAAGCTCCCCTTTCCAAAATTCTTTGCGCATTCATCATCCTTGAGCATCATATAAACTCTACATCACTTAAACCAATCAAAACGAGCCATAATTCAAGCTACTGAAGTCCAGTTTCAGAGCTTCTTCCTTGAACTTTGAAAAGGTAGAATTCTCTACCATTTGGATCCAAATCAAGCACTAATCTATTCTACTCCTTCTCCTGATTCTAATGTTGCTTACAATTTTTAAATCCATTGAGAATTGAGAGAGAAATCTCAAATTGAAGGTGCTCTCTATTTTCTGGGTTTTTGATTCATCTCTCTCTCCATACCTTATATAAATTTGGCGCGATGGTGGTGTTAGAATCGTCTTGAAGAGACGAGTTCAATGATACTAGTTTGGGATTCTAATTTTTCCATTTGAAAGATCTCACAAAATCCCCATTGCAGGGTGTATGGAGGTTGAAGACGATGACATGTCTCGTCTCAGCCAATGATAGCGTGCCAAACCTTTTAATTTTATTAGTTGCCCTTTTTCTGATCCTATGCGTATCTCACTAAGGTCCATATCAAGCACAACGCGTCTGGTCCACTGGATCAGCTTATTAACGCGTTTTGACTATGATCTGATGGTCCACATCTTTTTGGTTTTATTTTATTTTCTGATTTTATATTTTTATTGATTAAATTTTCAAAAATTCACAACTCTTTTATTTTTTATCCAAAAATTATGAAAAAACTCACAAAAATACTTTGAATTATTTCTGATCTCCTGACTATTTTTTCATATTTTTATTTTGAAATTTGATATTTTTTGTATTTTTTGTATTATTTTCTTTCTTTTAATTACTTAAAAAATACTTTCTGACATTTTTTAATTCTGAAAAAATTCATAAATTTTATTTTGCACATTTTTGACTTTATGAAATTTTTATGGAATTTTATGTTGAGGTTTACTATTTTTGACCTATTTTATGTTTGTTTGAGAAATTTTAAATAGTTTAAAAATAGTTTCTGACTTTTAAAAATTACCAAAAATTTTATAAAAATATTTAGAACCATTTCTGATTTTTCTATGGCCTTACTTTTTCTTTCTTGATTAATTTGAACATAGTTGATATTTTTCTCCTCTATTTTTATTTTTAAACATTTTTAAACCCTTTTAATGTATATATTAAATATAATATTATTTTGTGATTATTTTCTGGCTGTCTTGAGTTGTTTTTTTTATCATGACTTTATTAACATCATTGGATCCATGGTGTTGAGTTTAACTCCACAAAAATAGACGAATGATTTAAATAATAGTTTGATTTAAATTTAATTCAAAAGTGGTTTATTCATTTTTCTCATCCCCTCTTCATCTTATCCCTTTCTTATTACACTAAATGTTGTTGGAGCATGATCTCCATATCATATCTCAAAACAAATGATGCATAAATTGCTATTGACCAGCCTCAAAATAGGTGTGACTTCTATATAAGTCCACTTACGATTGCTTAACATAGCGCTAAATTTTGTCTCGATTCGAATAAATGATCATTCGTGGCCCAAACTTATGATTGCAAGCCCAAATATGTTAATTTGATCTCTTTGATCCAATAACCTTGAGATTTATTGTGTGGAGGCTTTGGTTCTACCAATCCTTTAATGGATCTACAACACCTTTGGTCAACGCGGATCACTTAAATATCGTTGATCATTAAATGATACTTATGAGAATTCCAAATGGATGATATACT